CTCGTTGGGACACTGTCTATAGGAAAGCCACCCACACGGATTCCTATCTAAAGCCTGACTCCCACCACCATCCAGCCCAGAAGAATTCCCTCATCAAAACACTACACCATAGGGCCCGTTGCATCTCCGACCAGCACCACCTAGCCAGTGAGCTTGAACACGTATGCCAGGCTCTCAGGAGGAATGGATATTCTGACCGCACAATCCGCAAAGCTGCATCCCCAACCATGGGTAGAGAACCATCTGAGGACCCAATCAAAACCATCACCTTACCATACATAGCAGGGGTCACCAAAAGGATTGCCAAAATCTTAAACAAACTCAAGATCCAAGTTCGGTTCAATACAGTACACAAAATCCGTGATTTGATCCCATCGGTGAAGGATGCGATTCCGGACATGCAATGTCCTGGTGTCTATAAGCTGAGTTGTGTCTGCGGCAGCAGTTACATTGGTGAAACGAAGCGACGTGTCTCAGACCGGGTTCGCGAACACAAAGCGGATTTGAAACACGGCAGAACCAACTCCTCGGCGGTGGCGGATCATTGTTTCAACGCTGTGGGCACACGTGACATTGTTTTCTCCGAGACCAAGGTGCTCTGCAAACCCTCGGGCCACCATCAGAGATTTGTTCATGAAGCCATCCAGATATACAAACACAGACAAAACTTTAATCGAGAAGATGGATTCAGATTGAGCAATCATTGGAAGGATGTGATAAACCGCGTCAAGTTTTAACTGCTATGATTTTCACTCACCCACCCGGTTGTCGTCGTCCGATGACTACATGTACTACAAGTCCATTTACTTGCTAATTCCCAGCCCCACCCGTCCATGCACGCCACAAACCCTCCCCCTCTCCCCTGTGAACTCCCACAGCCAAACTCTCCCCCCTTCCCTCCCCCTCCCGTGCCTATATAAAGCCACAACAGCAGATGATTTTTTCTCACCTGAAGACGGACGCTTGTGTTGCGACCGAAACGTCGTGTTTTCTTTATTTTTTCTATCTACGTGACTTTACCGAAAGAACCAGAGAGCATTTGGAAGTAGTGGGTTATCAAATTATTCTATCGTATTGGCCATATAAATTGGTACTGTAATTATAAAGCGGTACCACATTTTGCGCTGGCCAATCTATTAAATGTGCCATCACTTTTCTTTTATGTATTTTGGAAAGAGGGGAGATGATGTGTGCAGAGCTGAGGAAACAAACTGGTGTATGACCGAGCAAACTCGTCACCGAAATGACCAGATGACACTCAGAGATCGTCTCAGTGTACATAAGGTAGGCACAGTCGGTGATGCAACAACTTACAAAGAAAGTACGCAACAAACCAAATCGAACACTTTCAGTATTTGATGACACAAACTCATCAGATAGAAAAGCTGAGTGCAGGCTGGAAACAAACGATGAATAATACATGAAAAGGGTCATTTCGAGACAGAAAAATGTGACATGACCAGAGCCTTACTGCACTCCCCATGCTTTGCATGATGCCGTCTTGTGCCTCAAGGGCCTAATAAGAAGAGTAAACAATTATGTCTATACTGTACTGACGATGTCTTTACTTTGTCCTCCCCACGGCTGACTGCCATCAAACAAAGACGGTGGTCACTGCATCGCGCGCTTTCAGATGCGCTTCTGTGGCCATCTGGAACGCTCTTTCTTCCGATATTAGAAGGCCCCTGGAGTTATGGACTTTTAAATCTAGATTGGAAACTATTTTCTTAAAAACTGCTTTTGTGTAATGTCTTCCTTCCCCCGCATCTCCAATTAGCACGATTGGTTTAACATACATAATACAGTTGGTATTTACATTTTATATTACAATTACTCTTGTTTACCGAACCTCAAGACTATGTTTGCAAGGTCTTGATACGTGCTATGTAATGGGGGAGACGATTGCTGTTGTCCAATTAAGTAAATACAAATAAAGAGGCAAACTTGGACCATCGCGCAGTCAACACTTTACTTACTGTCATTTAATTTCCTCTATTTTTGTTGATATTTTCCATCTTATTAAATTATTTGGCATCGCTTAGAAACGCATTATTCCTAATTTCAGAAAGTAGCACATGCTACATAGAGTTAAAGTAACCCGAAAGAGTTATTGGATTGAGACACTACGCATTGTCCACCAATTTCGGTATTATCCTTTAGGAAATAATTCGTGTCGGAGCTGCAGCTATTGAGGCACAACAGCACTTTACACTTGTAACTATTTTATTTACTCTGTCGAATGAACCACAAAGACAAATATTGGTATTTTTGGTTTATTTGTTATGGAGTCCGGCGATTACAAAAACTCACCAATAACTAAGACCATTTATAACTAAAAACAATATTGAAATGAAGCAATGTTTGATTCGGAATAATGTTTGAGATGATATGAATATTGCAATAGTTTATATTCTGGACGGCCTATTTAAAGTTACCGTTTTGTCTGTGAACCCTGAAGGGACTCTGGAGATGCCTTCATATAACGTTGCCACACGCGTGCTATAGTTACATAAATTAACTGAAATTGCTACTTAACAATATCGTGCGTTAACTTAAGAAAGGATGGAAGACAAGGAAGAAGTATTTTCAAAACACTTTGAGCCCACCTTAAGCTGACAGTCTACAGGGATTATTAGAATTATCCCAAAACATTATCAGACTCATCCACAGCATTGGCACGGGACTTCATATTAAGACTATTTTCAACGACACTTTCTGAACTTCGTTAAAAAATATTTGTTCCCATAAAGGCATTACAAATAATATGTAGCTTACATTATGTAAGCCAGTAGGGTATGTTTAAAAGTGTTGATTTCTTGGTGCTGAAAGAATCCTGAAGTGATTGAGAGTTTAAAAAATGCCATACCTGCTGGTGTATTACAGCAATAAATTACCAACTTCAGGAAAGGTTTCCAAATACTGTCCAGATGGAAGACAAATCTGAGAAGCATGTACAGCAGCTCTACAGCTTCCAGACTGTACAAAAGGTCTTCACCCTCCATATATCCTTACAAAAACACATGAATCCTGTCATTTTCAGTAACTTTCCATGGCATTATTTTCTCAGTATATGCATATTTATGATTTTCAGGTTCAAACCCACTGTCAGCGATATCCTTTACAGGGGAAATATTGCCAATCATACTAATATATACTTTATATATACAGTACATATATTGACGTTGGAATTTCTGCTATAAGCAGTGACACACAACGGCTTGATCTTAATTTCCATATGGGTGGTGAACTGGAGCAGTGGCATGCACGGTGGTTCATTGCCTGCACTATTCATCTCGCGACCTGAGTTCGATTCTTCACCAGAGCTAATATTAGGCGGTGAGTGATATCTGCGCACTAGCCCTGGACCTCACCCCTCAAGACCACACTGACCAGCGCCGTGAGTTGAAACAAATCCAGTAACTGACATTGTACAGGGAGGCCTTTATCCAGCAGTGGATTTCATATCGAAATTTGCAGTATGTTTTGCTGCAAAAAAACCCGTTTCAGCAACTCCTCTCAGAAATAACCAAGAGGTAGAAATCAACTGTCAGCCCTGCACACATCGGGGCAGTGCCAAATGCATCAACTATTAATGCTGTCCAGCTGTTAAGACTTGATTCGTCAATGCCACTCAGCAGAGTTCAGTGATTCGCAAGGTAAAAAAAAACAACCATTCAAGTAAATTCACTATCAAGAATGCGTTTCTAAACATATACCGATTAATAAGAACAGTTTCTCGAAGCCTTTATTTTTTATTATCTTGAAAAATAACAAAGGACTCATAAGTTAAACATGGTTAATGTCGAACATTAAGTGTCTCGATGTACTGTAATTTTAAACATTTAACACCATCTTACTGCTGCCAACTCTCAGCTTTTCACAAAAACCCATCCAACAAACTCAAAGTGCTGAATCCTGTGCACTATCACACAAATACAAATGGGCCTTTCATTCCCAATTACTATACAACAAATGCGTTTACTAATTCGCAATGTCGCACACTAATTTTTACTGTGTGGATGACCCAAAAAGGGTTGAATTGTATTTTTTATGGACTTTGATAATAGTTCTAATGAAAGTATCATTCCATAGACATCGCATGAAACTGTGCAACAGTAGTGTTTATATGGCAGCCAAAATACTAACAAAACAACACAAGGAGTACTCTTAGTTTTACATAGGGAATCATAAAAAAAAACTTATAAAACGAACGCAAACATTCAAACCACAATATGCCAAAACAATAGTAAAACATCACAAAGCCAGACTTGAATAAGGCAGAGTTCTGGGTAAGCACATGCGCACTAGCAATTCTAAAGCTACAATACAGTACTTATCTTATCTGTCATATGGAATTCAGTGACCTTGCCCGCTTGTGCAGGTCCATTTACTGTTAGTGCTCTCAAGCATTTACTTCACACTTTAGAAATAAAATTAATTACATGAAACTCATTCGAAAATATATTCAGCCTTCCACCTTTGCCTCAGAGTGATGGTGACGCAGATAACACTGTACAGTACACGGCGTGATTTTTTATAAGTGTTACGAAATTGTATAATATGTAGCTATGTTGTATTACGTTATAACAAGTCCATTAGACGTGTTGGGTGTTCCGGTTAAATAAAATGAAACTTTAAGTATTATTTGCTTAGTTTCAATATGCCAGGCATACCCCAAAACCAGGCAACTCTCTCCATTGTTACTCTGGCTTCGAGAGATTTCACTGTACATGAAATCTGTTTACATCTGCTTCAAGCAATTAAAACACATGTTGCAGGAATAGAAAATGTTAAAAGCATACCATAAACCACTGGCAAAAAAATTGTAGTTTTAAGCCAGAGAAATACAACGCCCTATGTGCATATATTAAATAGTGTCAGACATTATTTGCTCTTACAGTAATTCCACGATAAGTCCATTAGGCGAGACTTGAAAGAGTGAATATGTTAAATAAAGGCTTTTATAAGAATAGTTCATGTTCATCGGTAGACTTCATCGCTTACTCCGATGTACTTTTCTTCAAGTAAGCAATCAGGTTGTTACGCTCGTCTTTTTTCTTTATTCCCGAGAAGATCATCTTCGTGCCAGGGATGTACTTCTTTGGGTTCTCCAAGTAGACATAGAGTGTATCTTCCTCCCAGGTGATTCCTTGATATATCAGTGTAAAGCAGATACACACGTTAAATTATACCAACAGAGATACAAAAATACAAGATGTTTGACAATACGATTTGAGGTGTCCACAGCCTTTATTATGTTCACATTTAAACTTTACTTGGATCGCACTTTAGCGTGCGACTTCATCACCAAGTTACTGCTTAAGTCTCCCTCCTCGTCCACAAGGTCAAGGGTCAATTGGGAGTGGGAATGTGATGAAATGGCAAATTACATACCCTTCGACTTGTTGGCATCAGTGTACGAATAGCCTGGAGCCTGGCCCGTCTTGCGACCAAAGAGGCCCCACAAATTGGGCCCAGTCTTGTGCTTGCCGCCACTCTCAACGGTGTGACACTGCGAGCATTTCTGCACAAACACTTTCTTGCCCTTCTCCACATCTGCCATCGCTCTGCATAAAACAGGGAATTAAATTTGTATTGCCGGAAAGGGTACAATATATTCTTATTATTAATCGTTTTTGATACTTGAAAAAAGGTCCCATAGATATAACTGCTCGACCCGATCTGTAAGAGTTTCGATACTTGCATCGTCTTTATCCTGTTCGCCTTTGGCGTTCTCTGCTCTATCACTGGTGAGACAAGGCCATTGAGAAGGCTGTCTCTGGTGTAGGCCAATCAGTTTCAAGGACAATGCATCAATTATCAGAGCATGTTCTTTTTCACGTTTTGTCACAAGTATGTATGGTTAATGCAGACTTGATGCCTTAGAAAAGGTATCTATTTTGGTGTTTGAACATCTTAACACCTGTTTTATTGCCGAAAAGGGTACAAAATATTCTTATTTTTCATAATTTTTGATACCGGCAAAAAGATCCCATTAATATAATTATTCATTTCCAGAATTTCCATGTCGCACATGTTTTCTCTCGTCAGCACCATGAACTCATCAGGCACACTCACTACTACTAAATATACCTGACAACTCACCAGACATTCACCATGCCTCTTACAGTCACCAGACACTCACTCGACTCTCACCGCTCACTCACCATTGACTACTCACTACTCACGTGACACAACTCCCTCCGCAGACACACTCAATACATACCTGACACCACGCCTCACTCGCTACGCGCCACTTACCAGGCATTCACTATTTGCATCAGTCACCAGACACTCACCACCCACCGAACACCCCGTCCAAACACACACCACGCACCTATGACACTTCACACTTCAAGTGCTTGTCTGGTACTGTGTTGGTAGCATCACTGGATAATGTGAAATGACGCACGTTATCAAGCAGGCGATGCACCAATCATTGAGAATAGTGTGTGGTCAGGGATTTTAGTTCACCCATGTCAAAGGTCAAATTATAGTCCCACGGTTACTGGTTTTCCACTGGACCGGGGATACCAACAAAAATACTCAAGCAAATTCGTGAGAGACGTCACCAAGAAGTCCAGTGACGTTGGTCAAAACGCAGAGCGTGCACATCCAAGCGAGATTGACGAGTGGTGGCAGTGGTTGCTAGGGATTACATCGTGACTCTCGTTACACCTGAGGGTGCCTTCAGGGGCGCTGCAAGAGGATACAATGAATACGCGAAATAATTAATGATAAATTATGTTAATGCTTTAGGCCCATGCAATAATTTGTTTCGTGGCTATGCCCATTAAAGGAATACTAGAACAGGAATCTATGCATTTTAACGATGCAATGCTCGATTAAACGGGAATCGATCGATTTTTTCGGGAATAGATCGATTTTTTTCGAAAAGCGTTAGAGCATGGATCGAGCTTTGACATTTTGAATACAATTTTTAAAAATCGGTACAGTAAATTGATTCTGTGTGACGTTATTTTTGGCTCAAAAGAGACGATTTGTGGATCGAAAAAGCCACACGTTCGACCGCTCCTTGACGCTGATTGGCTTCCCTCATTAACATAATTGATCATTCATTGTCGCGGATTCATTATATCCTCTTTATACAGCGGAACGACCTATAGCTACTACGGATGTTTTTAACACGTATACAATAATATTAGGCTACAACTTTGTTATTTTAGTTGCAACCGTGTATTGGGTTGAGAGGAAGACAGTCTCACAGTGACAGTATTAATAATCACGATTTAAAGGTATAATAACGATTTAAAGGTACAATACCCCCAATTAAGTGTTCTTGCGCATGTGGGTGAGCAAAATATTCTGGTGATCAATGACAAACACCAGTTAGCGCTACACTATTTTACGCCTGTTATTTTTCGGAAATATTTGTTTAATTTGTAACAATGTGTTTTGGCATTCATGGTGAATTGTCGGAATTAAAAAAAATATTTTCTTTGTAACTTGTTCATCTGTCGAGTATGGCCCTCCCGTGTTGCCTACTGGGCCCCTATGCATCGCATAACGCTGCCACATACCCCATTGGTTGCGCCCCTGGGTGCGTTCAATAGGCAGGGCGCCCCAGAGAACGCGTTTCTATTGAACGACCTATTAAGCTGCCAACGCATAAAAGGAGCTCACGTCTGGGTACCGTCTCGCTGAGCCTTGTGTACAAATCCAGTCAATTGGAGGAAACCGCACAATTCCCATAAACTCCTCGCCGTTATGAGGCTTTTGGCGTCCTAAAGAAATAAGAGCCAACTTGTTCAATAATAGCCAACTTCTCTCGTAAACGCAATGGGCATTGAACTCACCCCAGTCCCTATGCAACATGGCCGCCGTAAAAGTCCCCATGCAACATGGCCACCGTGCAGACCCCATGCAACATGGCCACCGTGAAAGTCCCCTTGCAACATGGCCACCGTTCAGACCCTGCAATGCAACATGGCCACCGTGAAAGTCCCCTTGCAACATGGCCACCGTGAAAGTCCCCTTGCAACATGGCCACCGTTCAGACCCTGTGCAACATGGCCACCGTGAAGTCCCCTTGCAACATGGCCACCGTGAAAGTCCCCTTGCAACATGGCCGCCGTGCAGACCCTGTGCAACATGGCCACCGTGAAAGTCCCCTTGCAACATGGCCACCGTGCAGACCCCATGCTACATGGCCACTGTGAAAGTCCCCTTGCAACATGGCCACCGTGAAAGTCCCCTTGCAACATGGCCACCGTGCAGACCCTGTGCAACATGGCCACCGTGAAGTCCCTTGCAACATGGCCACCGTGAAAGTCCCCTTGCAACATGGCCACCGTGCAGACCCCATGCAACATGGCCACTGTGAAAGTCCCCTTGCAACATGGCCACCGTGCAGACCCCATGCAACATGGCCACTGTGAAAGTCCCCTTGCAACATGGCCACGTGCAGACCCCATGCACCATGGCCACCGTGAAGGTCCCCTTGCAACATGGCCACCGTGAGAGTCCCCTTGCAACATGGCCACCGTGAAAGTCCCCTTGCAACATGGCCACCGTTCAGACCCTGTGCAACATGGCCACCGGGAAAGTCCCCTTGCAACATGGCCACCGTGAAAGTCCCCTTGCAACATGGCCGCCGTGCAGACCCTGTGCAACATGGCCACCGTGAAAAGTCCCCTTGCAACATGGCCACCGTGCAGACCCCATGCTACATGGCCACTGTGAAAGTCCCCTTGCAACATGGCCACCGTGAAAGTCCCCTTGCAACATGGCCACCGTGCAGACCCTGTGCAACATGGCCACGTGAAAGTCCCCTTGCAACATGGCCACCGTGAAAGTCCCCTTGCAACATGGCCACCGTGCAGACCCCATGCAACATGGCCACTGTGAAAGTCCCCTTGCAACATGGCCACCGTGCAGACCCCATGCAACATGGCCACTGTGAAAGTCCCTTGCAACATGGCCACCGTGCAGACCCCATGCAACATGGCCACCGTGAAAGTCCCCTTGCAACATGGCCACCGTTCAGACCCTGTGCAACATGGCCACCGTGAAGTCCCTGTGCAATATGGCCGCTGTGACACCATTGTTCTGAGTGTTGCAAATATATCCATGTTATTACTGGTAGGAACCTCGTGGTTACACCAGCCCACAGGGGATTATTGTGTCCGTCCGTCGTGCATCCAAAAATGGGAGGGGTGGGGCTGAGTGGAGAGGGGAGGGTGGGTGGGGCTGGGTGGGGAGGGGCTGGTCACCCCGTGGTGCCCTTATAAAACTCAACGTTTCACCTACTCACGCCGGCTTGTGCCCGCCCTCACAGTCGGGCAGATTTGCGGAATACACCACGCCGCCGTTGACCCTGCAGGCCATTGACCGAGCAACCCAACGTTCCTACCAGCTCCCTCCGCAGGAATGTGTTAACAATGTGTGATTTTGTGTGCACTTATTTGTGCGAATTTGTGAGCGCGTGCGGCCACTCATGTGTGTTACTTTGCATGGGAATGTTGACTGTGCCCCTACTGGAAATCCGTGAAAAAGAGTTGCATAGCTCATCAGATTCTGATTTATGTTCGTGCCTGAGTGTTTGTGTATATCGATGTATGTAACTATCGTACGCCGTGTCGGCCTTCACGTGAACTAGCTCAGAGTTTGTTAAATGCCTATACAGTATGTGGAAAATGTGTCTAATTATGACATTATTTGTGATTGTGCACGCATGTATTTGCAGGTTTGGGTGCGTGTCTCTGCGTGTGTATCTGCCAGTCTTGCCAAGTCAGCCAACACCAACACCTGGGTCTGTCTCGTGCACCTAGCCTGGCACAAGCGCCGTAATGTCACGGTGGTGGTTGTTGTGTATTTGGTGTTGTGTATTTGTGATAGTCTGTTTGCGTGTCCGTATTGTTTAAGAGTACGCATGTGTGGACCTAATGATGAACTAAGGGGTGTCTCGAGCAGCCCTTAGTTACCACAGAAGGTATGATATTTATTTCGCGTAAATACCTTATGGAATTAGGAGTTAGAACAAATCTCAGGTTACACAATTTCTAGAATTATGTAAGCTGTTCGGTTCTTGGGCCCCAGACCGCATGCTGTGTGCTTCCTTCGAAACGAGTGCCATGGGCCCAACATTCAACATCCAGTGACTCGTCACCAGCACGGGAGGAGGGCTTTGTGGCATTGGGAAGAGCCGGCCCATCATTTGACCAATGGTGGCTTAATTTTGGCCAAACAAATCCCATCATCAGAATGTTATCGATGTTGCCATCAACATTTGATGGCTGGTTTTCCTTGTGAGATAACATTTTAGTCCACTCCTTGTTGGGTAACAACCCTGCCAAAGTGATCGTGACAATCATTGATAATTTATGTAAATGTAACCTAATTAACACGAGTGGACTATGCTGGATGCTATCTCGGTTGAGTAACAGCAGGTTACAAATTGTAGAACTGTACACGTGGCCAAGGTCAACCCAGCCGCAGTGTCTTTGAGGGTTTGGCAAAACGTGCATCATGACGTCGTGCGAGTGTGCACCACCACTTAATGAAGACTGTGGCACAGAATACACTTGTCCCTGTCATAGGAAG